GGCCCCGTTCCCACCTCCCCCGCCGCAGCCCTTCCCCTCTACCTGAGACTCCCCGACCACGCCCTGGGGGGTTGGGGGGGTCTGCTAGACCCCTCACGCGGTCCCTTCCCCCCCCACCCCCCCATGTAAAAGAAGCCATCCTGATGCCAGACGTTCTCATGAACCCAAGCTTGTTATCCCCCCGGGGCCCTTCCAACGCCAGGCCCAGCTCACTGTGCCCCGTGTCAAGTGCCCCTGTCCTCGCCCTCACCCTCCCGTCCCCTCTGCCCCCTCTGCCCGACAGGCGGTTCGAGGCGCCCGGCAGGTGGCCGACTTCGCCCTGAAGGTGGAGGTCGAGGTGGGCAGTCTGCGGGAGGCTGTGGAGGCGGCCGAGGCAGGCGCAGACCTCGTCCTGCTGGACAACTTCAGGCCCGAGGTAAGGTGGGGTCTGCTTCCCGGGAAGGGGCCGCCGTCCCGCGCTCTCACCTCCCCCCCGGCTTGTGTTTGTGTCCCGCAGGAACTGCACGCCACGGCCGCTGCGCTGAAGGCCCGCTTCCCGAGTGTGGGCGTGGAGGCCAGCGGGGGCATCACCCTGGCCAACCTGCCTCAGTTCTGCGGGCCCCACATTGACATCATCTCCCTGGGGATGCTGACCCAGGCTGCCCCGGCCCTGGATTTCTCCCTCAAGCTGTTTGCGGAAGGCGCCACTCCAGTGTGCCACGCCTACCGGACCTAAAGCCAAAGAGGGCGCCTCTGGCAGGGGAATCACAGTTTCTTGGGCCCCTCGAGTCTGCAGTACAGGACTCTCGGGGCGTTAGCCTGGGCTGACGTCTGGCTCTGCCTATGTGGGGGTGGAGGGGCTGATTTCACCTCTGCTCATCTGTAAAATGGGTCTGATAAATGATCAACCTTATGGATTTCTTTGGGTGATAATTAACACATAAGAAGTGTTCAGTAACTCTTAGAAATTCCCATAGTCCGTCGATTCTGAGATAGGCCTTTTTTCACATACTACCTTCTCCCACGTCAAAGTGCGTCTTTAACCAATGGCGTCTAGTGGTCACCATCAGCCAGGCGTCAGTAATCACATAGCCATGCATCATGGCCCTAGCATGCAGCTTGTAGATAAAACATGATAACAATCTATGTTTGAAATAAGTCCCAGACAGCTCTTTTAGCAAATACCAGAAAGAACTGCTACATGATAAGAAAACATTGGTCGAAGTGTAATTGACAAGTCTCTTTTCCAGTAATAGCGTGTGTGTTTTAAGGTCAATGGCAGTTTATATCTGAGGGTATATGGCATCAGGTCTGGTATTCAGCTAGAACATTCCACTGGGTCGATGCCCGTGTTGTACTGGGTATTCAGTGTGTTCCCTCTCTCCTCTGACTCCTGTTACCACCTCCTTGGAGGAGGTGAGAACCTGACCATTCACTTCCAGGGTTTCCAACCTAGATGTGCGTTGCCATTGGGTGCCGAGGGCCTTTTAGGTTCTGGTCCCATAGCGCTATCATCAGCTGGGAAAGGAAGGTGGGCAGCTAGGGCCAGAGCACAGGTCACCTGAGGGAGGAGGGATGGGGCAGGTGGAAGTCCATGTTCAGACATCAACTTTTCCTGCTAAGTCAAGACTCAGGGGTCTAAGCAGAGGATCTAAATCCAGCTTCCCAAACACACTCACACACCTGAGGTATCACTCACTTGTTTGGCTACTGTACCCTCACTTCAAGCCCGGGGAGCTCGCCTCTCTCTAACCCTTCGGGCAGGAAAAGACATGAGGGGTCCCTCAGGGCAAAGCGGCTCCTGAGGTGACTTTCCAGAAGGGCTCCCTTCTGGAGCCACCTCTTCCCTCCTAGAACCCACTGTCTTCTCTGTCTTTTGCCAGGAGGAGAGAAAAACAGCTTGTCCACAAATCCCCTTCCCCAGGGAAAGCCTGGGGGGTCCCAGTCTGCCTTGAGGGAGGTAACCTACCCCTTCCCCCCTGTCAGTGCTGGAGACCCCTTGCTGGGAAGGGAGCAGATCAAGAAAACAATGAGCTCATCTCAGATGTGAAAGCCCCAGACAAGCCAAGACCATCATTCACACACTAATTATGCACTGAGTGCCTGCTGTGGCCAGGCTGAGAGCACAGAGTGGAGAATAATCTAGCAAAGATGCCGGGCGGAAGTGGTAAGCTGCTGCCTTTGGTGATGCCCTGGTCTGAAGGGACCATTCTCACAGGACACAGCCCAGTCGTGCCACCTGGGGCCGCACCTGTTCTCTTTAATACACACTTCCACCCCTGGGTCCTCCTGTCCTTTCTCCAGGGAAAACAGTCATGCTCGGCTAGGCAGACTTCCCGGCTCTGGAAGAATTTAGATCTCTGAGCCTCAGATCCCCAGACCCGGAGAGGCATAACTGAACACCGATAGAACTGGGGGGATGGGGGGGGGGGCACTTCTGAGTATCAAAATAAGGAAGTCAGGATTCCTGGATGCGCTGGGAATGGGAAGGCAAAACACTTGGGGTCCAGGAGGGAATCAGTGCCTGACAGAGGCAGAAGGGAGAAATGTACCAGGAATCTCAAACTCAAAGCCTCCGGGACCTAAGCTGATAAAATACTTGGGAGAAGCTGGAATAAGACAAAGCTGAGTGGGCGGCGGCCAACGGCACCCACCAAATCCCAATTAAGACAGAAAAAAGAAATCTACCAGGCTGAGTCTCAGGCTGCCTTGAAGGCAGAAATGGGTCAGCCCTACAGGCACCTCCAGATTGGAGAGCTGGGAGAGGATTCCATTACCAGAGGAAAAGGAAATGGATCCTGAGCAGGCAAAAACAACACATGCCTTCCTTGGCAGGGAGTGGATTTCCAGGCAGAGGGGAGGGCAAGGGCAAAGGCTCAGAGGTGGGAAATGACTTGGATTGTTTGGTGGAAGATTTGAAGATGGGATCAAGAGAGGCGAGATGGCTAGGAGCTGGGCTGGGTCCAGACCACGAGATGGTAGGTCAGAGGACTTGGACTCTGTCCCGAGAACAATCAGACCGAAGCTGGAAAGTGAGATAAGCACATTTGCAGTTTAGACCGAGTCCGTGGCACAAAGATGCGTTCGAGGGGGCTGCAGTGGCTGCAGGGAGCCCAGGAGGAGGCCGATGCAGCCCCTCAGAGCTCTGAATGTGGGTTGTGGCAATGTGGGTGGAGAGAAGGGACTGCGGTCAGAGGGAACAGCATGCGCAAAGGCTCAGAGGGCAGATGGAGCCCCATGGGTTCGTGGCAGTAGGAAGAGTTGGGTGTGGCTGTGGGAGTTGGGGGGTTGGGTGGAAGGAGTGGGGGGGGGCAGG